TCTGGGAAGGAGCTGAGAGAGGAGAGAGGACTTTCCACTGTAAATATATTGAGAGGAGGCAGCTCGGAGATCCATGGTAGCCAGATGGGCAGGGAGGCCCCTGGAGTGGGCATGTGAGATATGGGGCATCAAGGTCCAAAAGCCTTGCAGGGGCAAAGGCAAGGAAGGGTCATGCAGAGCAATAAGGGTGATCACCGAGTAACATCTGCCCTGCTCACAGCCCAGGGTGGAGACAGGGGTCCGACTTTGCCACACATGCACTGTCCTGACTGAATGGGGACATCAGGAAGAGCGGAGCACCCAGCTGTGTTTCCTCGGGGAAGGCAAGTCTCTAAAACAGATCGTGCCGCTTCAGGCATAACTGGGTTCACTCGGCATGGCTCAGTGGCCAGGGCCGTAAGGCTAGGGCAGGTGAGGTCCATTCACCTCAGAAAGCACAAAAGCTGGGTCCACTGGCCTTCAGCTGGAGCAGGTGGTGCTGTGTGTATGACTAGCCATTCTGACTTGCAGCTCAAGTGCCAGGCCTTGGGGTGGTGGAGGGACCCAGATCCCCAGCGAAGGCATTGGCGTGGATGGCCTTCCAGGGTCCTTCTTCCTGGGACCATCTATGACTTGTTGCCACTTGGCTGTGGCCTGGCCTGCAAGTCCTGGTCAATTGGATGAGCTATCATATCTTTTTGGCCACCAACTCCAGAAAGCCAGGTACCCGGGCCTGTGACACATTCTCTGCCCAAGGCCAGGTGCTAACATGTGACCCTCACTGCTGGGATCCAGAACTCTCTTTCACTTTTCAGGACAGGAGTCTAGTCAGCTCTGTTGGGTTCCAGTTCTGCAAAGACAGGAGTCTGGACAGAGACTTGGGCCTCCTTAGGAAGGAGGCTGCTGGCCCACGCAGCCTCTGTGGGGCAGTGATAAATGGGCAGCATAGGGCTGGAACACCTTGTAGGACCCTAAAGACTGCATGAAGACCAGCAAGGACCCTGCCTGATCAGCATAGCCTGGTTCTCCCTAGGTAGCCATGGGAGGAAGCCAGTCATGTTAAGAAAAGGCACCACAGATGCAGCCCGGCCAGTGCAACTCGAGCCACCTGTGACCCCGGACTCCCTCTGTCCACTGAGTGCTGGGGGCTCTTGTTCCTCGGTGCAGTCCTGGAGCTGAGCTGCCTCTGTTCACTGCCCATCATGAAGGTAGGTGAGACTCACAGGCCCCCAGGCCTCCCTTCCTTCTTCCTGGAAACTCCTACAAGCCCTTTGGCTCTTGCTTCCTACCTGGCTGCTCATGGCGCTGCTCCTTGCTAAGCCTCTGCCTTCTGCCTGCATCCTCCTCCCAGGCTGAGCATCCCTCAGTCACTCTCTGCAGCAGGCACTGCCAGGCACCTGCCCTAGCCCTCAGCCTGGCTGCAGGAAGAACTTGGCCATTGCCTTAGCAGGGTCCCCAGACTCACTAAGGCCCAGTGAGGCACTTCCAGCATCCTCTCCCAGCCCCCCATCCCCACCCTGCACGCCCTCAGTGCCCTGCCGGCTAGCTCAGCCTGGGCCCTCTGTCCAGCTACAAGCTGCTCACAGCAGGGTGGGCAAACCTCAGCCTAACCCCAGATTCCAGGCGTGGGGCTGGCTGCCGGCTGCAGAGATAAATCGAGGAAGTCTCCCCTGGCCCTGGCCCCGGCCAGCCCCCTGCAGTGGGCAGGCAAGGGAAAGGAGAGACCCTAAAGGCCTGTTTGCTGTCCCAGCTGGGCTCGCTGCATGCCCCTGCCTCTGCCCTGGCTCTAGCCCCATCAGATCTGAGGACATAAGTCCATGGGGGCCCATCTGGTGCTCTAGCCTGGGGGTGGGGAAGGAGACAGAGCTACTCCTAAGTGACAAGGAGATGGCTTCCAATCCCCAGCTTCTCAAGGGTCTCTGGGGTGTACCCACTCCTCCTCAGCTCAGCCTGGAGGCTCACCATGACTTGAACCTACAGTCATCTTCCACAGAAAGGGCTTCGGTAAAAGCAATTTAGCCCTCTCCTCTTCCATAATGGGAAGAAGATTGGACAACTTCAACCAGAAGGGGGGGCGGCGGGGAGCATGGCACAGCCCCCAGGGTCCCTGCCACTACCCATTGGGAGCTCCTGTGTCCCCATGCTGACTTGCCAGGGGGAGCTCATGGTAGCAGGCACCTGTGACCAGCAACCTGACTTGCCCAGGATCCCCATGTCCACCCAGCCCTGGTTCTCTTTCTGCCTCAGACTGCACCTTGCTATCTGATAAGGCTCTGGCTTTGGGCTTCTCAGAGTGATTGCCTGGCCTATCGGTGGGCAGGGAGCATCCCCTAAGCCCTTGGAGCCTGGGGCCTGTGGCTTTTCTGGAGCACACAGCCCTGCAACCAGTGAGGTAGGTGGCACTGCCAGCAGATGAGGACACTGGATGTCCCTGCTATAGAGGTCAGGAGATCAGGGGAGTCCCTGGGCCCGCCATGCTACAGGGGGCTAGGGGCTCCTTTTTCTAGCAGTTTCTTAGGGGGCCTCAGTGGCTAGTCTTCTGGGAGACCCTCCTTCCCATGGCTCTGGCTTTAGGGGCTCTCATACTGAAGTGGACATGGGCTCAGTGTAACACCCTGTGTTCCCAAAACCTTCAGCAAAGGTGAGAGCGGCAGGCAGGGCCATGGGACCCTGAGGCCCTGGGGCCCAGGCTGGAACTGAGAGCTCAGTGTGAGGCCAGATTCAGAGCTCCCTTTGGACCGGCCGGAATCTGGGTGGGCCCAAGGTCAGGGAGCCTTTATTGGCAAGATAGAGACTTGGTCAGACAAGGAAAGGAAGCAGAGGTGGGGGTAGTAGCTCTTTCACTGTGGCCCGGGGAGGCTGAACTGGACCTGGAATGATGTGCCTTCCTCTCAGGCTGCTGGAGGACCTGAGGAGAAGGAAGAACCCAACTTTGGGGGCAGCAGGGAGGGGGGCTGGGGTCACTTCCTGCCTGTATCCCCCAGAAACCCCACCTCAGTGGCCAAATGGGTGTCATGCTACCCACTAACCTCACGGGGGCGCAGGAGACAACAACATTATCAGCCCAGTGGTGAGGAACTCAACTGCTGGAGCCTCGGAGGCTGAGCTAGCTTAGTGAGGCTCCCCCATCCTCCCAGAGACTAGTCAGCCTGCCTTGCCAGGCTTGCCGATGAGCACCCCGAACTCTGCAGTCCCTCTTGCCTCTGACCACTTTCGTCTGCCCTTGGGTTCTCTCCACCTTCCCAGAGCCAGGCTTCGGAGATGATGATCTTGGGCCCACCCTAGATAAGAAGCCCTGGTCAGTCTGCATTTGGGGGAAGCTGCCTGGTGGTGTGGAGGATGGGGCACTGCAGTTGGGGCTCAGTGTTCCAGGCAGTGAAAGGGAGCTAGGGGCCCTGGGAAAGCCTGGGAAAGAAGGGGCCACTGCCCAGGAGCCTGGGAGAGGCTGTGACCGGGAGTACACCATTGCTGTTGAGGGCCACAGAGCTAGCTGGAGGCCTGGCCCGGGGGCTGTGGTGGTGGCAGTGGGGGTGGGGTGGGGGTGGTGAAGGTTGGTGTGTGCAGCTGGGCAGTGTGGGGGGTGCTGGTAAGACTCAGTGGCAGAACTGAGGGGTAAATGGGGCAGGGACAGGCAGGGTGTAGTCCAGGGTCCTGGGTAGGGGGACCTAGGGATGTTTAGGAGGTAGATGGGGTAGGGGCGTGTAGGAGCAGTGTAGGGGTCAGTAGGGGTACCCACCTAGGGACTCTTTAGAAGAGGCTGAGGGTAACTGATAGGGGTAGCTGGAGAAGCCCTCTTGGGTCTGTGGCAGACACAAAGTTTAACCCTCCCCTCCCAGTACTGGGGAGCCACCGAAGATTGCTGAGCAAGGGCAACCCAGCCAAAAACTATGTTGAAAAGTGGAAGCATCTACCTCCCATCCCCAGTTCCACCAAAGAAGCCCCCGAGGTCTGGCCTACCTGGGGTGCCAGCTCCCCCACCCCTGCTGGGCTTGTCACTCACTGCTGACTTTTGTGCGTCCTATTGCAGGACACTCTCTAATACCTTCCTACAGCACTGACCAGGCTGAGGTGACATTCCGAAGGGCCATGGAAATTTGCCTCGCAAAGGTAGGAGCAAGACCAGGGACAAGGAGGGACTTGGGGGATCAGACAGGGTCAGCCTTGGGCTTGACCCCACATCACCAGTCCCAGACCTCAGGTTCTCCACCAGCCCACGGCAAGAGCTTCCTGGCCTTCTCAAAAGGTCTGCCCTGAAGCAGATGTGGCAGAGTTGTGACCTAAGAGACGCAATAGACTCTGGCTTCTCAGCCTCTGCCACCCATGGGGACAACACAGTGGAGAGAAACTGAGGCAGAGAATGCAAGTGGTGGTGGCCAGGTCAGGGCCCACACCCAGGTCTCTGGATCACTGGAGCCACCTCCTCCAGGTTATGTTTTTGAGACAGTGAAGTTCTCTTTGTTCCCTGATGCCCTCCCAGGCCTCAGTTTCTCCATGTGCTCTCAGCTCCTGGCTTGCTGGAGGTGCCATTCATGATCCCAGCACTGGGTGGAATTGAGGCAGGATCCTGTGGTAGAGGGAGAAGGTCTACTTTGACTAGGAAGTCCTGGGCTCCCCAGCCTGGTGGTTTGCTGTGAGAGGGGAATGGCTTGAGTATTGTTCCAGTGCAGCTCAGGGCAGCCAGGAAGCCTGGAGGGACCTAATCTTTTCCATTCTGCATCTTTCCTGAGCAGAGTGTGGCTAGGGCAGAGAACTCTGGTGGAGTTGGGAGGAGAATGGCACCAAGATCAGGCAGGGGCCGAGTGTAGGTGGGGGGACAGGAGGGGTCTCTGATGGACAGACATAGGTGAACAAACTTGACCAGCTTCCCTGTTGGCCCCGAGGCCTGGGTACTGGGAAGGGAACCTTTTTGTAATCAAAAGCTGCCTTATCGAATTTGCTTTTCTCTAACCTTTGCTTCCCGGCTTGTGCAATGCCCCTCCCTGTGGCCTTCACCTTTGCCTTGGTGCCATGGCTCACAGCAGCTCCCCCTCCCAGGGACGTGCTGCCTCAGGCAGCTGGAGGGATAGCCTGAGCCCCTTGCCGGGGCTGCTGAGGAGAGGAGGCCACTGCTGCCACCTGCTCGCGTCAGTCAACCCAGTCTGCTACCCCAGGCCTGGTGGTGGTGGGTGGGGTGGGACAAGAGGCAGGTGGGTTTCTGTGGGGCTTGGCTTGCTAGACCAGGGACGGGCCTGAGCCAGCATGGTGGCTGGGGTGAGATTGCGGGGGGGAGATGACCCAGGTTGGAACCAGATGAAGAGGCTCAGTCTTGTGGGTGTTTGAGGCATTGCAGGAGGGGCCTGTGAGGCCTGTGACCCCTGTGAGGGTCCGCCTTTGCTTGCTAATGTGAGCCACTTGAAATTCTTCTTAAATCAGCAAATCTTCATCCTCTTCCAACAGAATTTGGCTTATGGAAAATACCCAGAGGCTCTGGAAGGCAGATACAAGGAGGTCCAAGGTGAAGGCAAGGCCAGGAGGAGCAGATGCCAGGTGGGGGAAGATGTCTGTGACCAGGAGTCGGGCCAGAAGGCTCTTACACCCATACCTCAAGGTGGAGAGGCTGTGGATAAGTAAGGCCTGGGACCCCTTGTCCTGGGAGGACCATCTGGGAGGCCACTCCAGGGCAGCACATTGTTCCCAGGCCTCCCTGCGGGGTCCTGCTGTGTGGGGGGGCAGCCCAGAAGCCCCTTTATGCCCTTGTGTTTTCTGTAAAGGCTGCTAGAGAGGGGGGAAGGCTCTGAGTTGTGCACCTGGGCCTGGGGACCCTCGTATCCCAACCCCTGAGGAGCTCCCAGACATGCACAGCCCTTCTGCTGGGGGCTTTCCTGAGTTGCCCAATACCCTAGAGACACAGCTGTCTCCTGATGAACAGATGGGGAAACTGAGGCCTTCTTTTGCTCATGGCCCTCAGATACATGCACATCTGGAGGAGAATGAGTGACACACAGTAGGTGCTCAACCACAAAGGTAAAAAGCCTGTGAGAGCATCCAGCTTACTCCGGACATGCTCAGAAATACAAGCAAGGAACATAGCATGGACCCCAAGGCCAGAGGTAAGGAAATCCCACAGCATGACTTGGCAAAGATCTTACCATTACCTGTGAGCCCGGCTTGCACTGCATATGTCCCCAGAGCACCTGCCAAATATATGGCCCAAAGGAAGGCCCTGACACAGTGCCTGGCCCATAACAAACCTCCTCAGGAATGAAAGTGGAGCAGCTGTGCCGGATCTGTGCCCACTCCCTACTCTGGATTCTCCATTCTCTACCCTCCATTCTCCATCCTCCATCTGCCACCTTCCACTCTATCCTCCACCCTCCACCCTCCACTTTCCACCCTTCACTTTCCACCTCCATCCTCCACTCTCCACTCTCCATCCTTCACCTTCCATTCTCCATTCTCTATCCTCCCTCCTTCACTCTTCGTTCTCTAGCCTCCATCCATATGCCATTTTTGTTCTCCCTCTCCACTCTTCATTCTGCATTCACCATGCTCCATTTTCCACTCTCGCTGGCTCATTGTCCTCCATTCTCCACGCTCCAGTATCTATACACTCTATTCTTCCCTGCATTCTCTATCTTCATTCTCTACACATTATTCCCATTCTTTCTTTTCCATATTCTATTTACCATGCTCTATAATCTATACACCATGACCCATACTCTATATACCACTATCCATTGTCAATTTTCAATACACTACAATCCCTTATCCATGTGCCATTTATGTATGCTCCCCCATCTTCCATATTCCACTCTTTTCATTATCTACACACCATTCTCCACCCTTCGCAATCCATACTTCATTCTTCACTCTCCATTTTCCTTATGCTCTTCACCACAGTTCATTTTTTAATTCTTCATACTTCAGCCTTCGTTCTCAATACTTTCTCTTTACTTTTTCCATTTTCCATGCTTCATTGTTATATACCCTGCTCCATTCTACACTCCAGTTACAATACTCTATACTTTATTCACCATGTTTTACCTTCCATTCTACATTCTACTTTTTCCATACTCTGTTCTCCATATTTCATTCTTCATACTCCATTTTACATACTTTATTCTTTGCCATCCTTATTCCATTTTTGTTTTTTTTTTTTTTGTATCGGGGATCCTTGCGCTTGTGAGGCAGGTGGCGGAACCACTGAGCTAAATCCCCGGCCCCTTGTTCCATTCTTTACATCCCATTCTCCATTCTCTATTTTCCAATCTTCTTTTTTTTGTTTATTTGTTTGTTTGGTTTTTTTGGTACCGGGGATTGAACTTGGGTCTTTGTGCTTGCGTAGCAGGCGACAAAACCACTGAGCTAAATCCTCAGCCCTTTCCAAACTTCTTATACTATTCACCATACAGTATTCTCCATTCTGAACACCGTACTCCATCCCTCATGCTCCATATACTCAGAATACACTTTATACTCTTTTCTCCAATCACAGACTCCAAGACTCCATAGTCTTTTGTCCACTTTTATTCTTCCTTGTATTCTCTCCATTCATCTTGTTCCATTATATATTCCCTATTTTCCATATCTCACACTCCATTATCTATTCTATATATTCTATTCTCTATTTTCCAAATGTCATACCCCATTATTGTTACATCATATTCTGGGGCCAGGGATTTAGCTCAGTGGCATCGTGCCTGCCTTGCAAGCTCAAGGTCCTTAGTTCCATCCCCAGTACCAGGAAAAAAAAAAGATACATCATATTCTGTATTTCATTCTCTATCCTAATTTCTCCATACTACATTCTCCACACATATTCCTCATGTTCCATAAATCTTTGTCTGAATTCCATAATCCATGCCACATACCATTCACTATTTTCCATACTCTATTACTGATATTCCTTTCTATTCTCCATACTCCATTGTCCACATTCTGTACTCTTCATTCTTCATGCTTGATATTCATATCTATACACTGTATGTATTATTTCATATATCATTCTTCATATTATATGCTCCACTTTCATCTGTATTTTCCATTCTTATAATCCTTATTTAAATCACTAGTCTCTGTTTTCCATTCTCCATACTACAGACACCATGCTCCATCCTCCACTATAAAATCCAAGCTCCATACTTCAACCTGGATTCTCCCTTCTCCAACTTACATTAACTACACTCCATTACCCATATTCCATTCTCAGGTTTTCACATTTCACTCTGTCTCCTAAATTTAATACTCCATTCCCCATACTCTATTTCTATATTCCATTTCCTATCTACATTCTCTATTTTTAAATTCTTTTTTTTTTGGTACCAGGGATCAAACTTGGGACCTTGTGCTTGTGAGGCAGGTGGCAGAAACTCTGAGGTAAATCCCTGGCCCTATTTTTTAAATTCTATACTTCATACCTAAATATCTATAATCCATACTCCTTATCCTATCTCCATATGCCATCCTCCATTATCCTATTTCCATGTTTTATTCTCCATACTCTTTTCTCCATTCTTAATTATCCATACACCATACTCCAATCTCCATATTCTACTCTCCACTCTCCATTTTCCATTTTGCATACATTGTTTTTAAAAATTCTATTATCCACTCCTCATTCTTCATTTGTCATTCTTCATACTCTCTTCTTCATATTCAATGCTCCATTCTCTATTTTAATTCACTTTCTATTCTTTACACTCCATTAACCATATGTCATATTCAACATCCTCCACATTCCATTCTACATTTTACATAACCATTTTGATTCTCTATTTTTGTATGCAAATCTCCAAATCTCTTATGCCATATTCTGTAATGCATTCTTCATTCTCCATACTCTCCCCTTCATAGTTCATATTCTACTCTATTTTCTATCCTCCGTCTCTATTGTTCATCTCAATCTCTGCATGCCATTCCCCATGTTTCCTATTCCAGTCTCTATTTTCTATCCTCCACACTCCATACTCGAATTCTTTCTCCATATTCTGTATTCCATTCTCATCCTCTATTCTACTTTCTCTATTTTCCATACAGTATTCTCCACATACCATTCTCCATTTCCACAGTTTCTGTACTCCATCATCTATTCTCCACATCCTCTTATTCACATCGTGTAGTCCATTCTTTATACTGCACATTCCATTATCCATGTTTTATATTATATTCTTCATTCACCATGCAACATGATCCATCTCCATACTCTAGTCAACTTTCTCCAGATTCTGTACTCTATTCTCTGTTCTTCATGCTTCAATATCCATACTACATTATAGCTTCTTTGTTCTGCATACCCCAACCTCATTCACCATTGTCCAGATTCTATTTCCCATAACCCATATGGAATATTGAGTAGCCTAGTCTCTATATTCTCTATCCTACACTCTAGATGCCATTTTCATTTCTTTGGGCATTTTTTTTTTTTGTACCGGGAATCAAACTCTGGCCCTTGCGCTTTTGAGGCAGGTGGCAGAACCACTGAGCTAAATCCCCAGCCCATCTTTGGGCATTTTTTTTTTTTTGAGACAAGGTCTTGCTATGTAGTTCAGGCTGGCCTTGAACTCACCATGTAGCCCAGAATGGCCTCAAACTGGCAGTAATCCTCTGCTTCAGCCTCCCAAGTGCTGGGATTATATGTGTAACCCATCATGCCTGGCTTGCTATTTCCATTTTTTTCCTTTGAAATGGGTCTCATTATGGAGTTTAGGCTAGCCCTGAACTCACTATGTAGCCCAAGCTGACCTAAAAGTCACAACAATCCTCCTGCCTTAGCCTTTTGAGTGCTGGGATTACAGGTGTGTACCACCACATCCTGCTTGCCATTTTCACTTTTTTTGTTTAATTTTTGAGACAGGGTCTTACTGTGTAGTTCAGTCTGGCCTCGAACTCACTATGTAGCCCAAGCTGGTCTTGAATTTGTGGCAATCCTCCTGCCTCAGCCTCCCAAGTGATGGAATTACAAGTGTGTGCTACCACACCCAGTGCCATTTCCACTTCTTAAGCCATGCTCCATAATCCACACTCCATACACCATTCTTCATACACCATACATTATTCTCCATTTTCCACACTCCATACCACTGTCTATATCTATAGTCTATAATCGATTCTGCAATGTCTATTTTCCCTAACAATTCTTCATACTCCATAGTCCATTGTTTATATTCTGTTCCATATTCTCTATTTTCCAACTTCATAACCATAGAACTATTCATTACCCCGTATCCTTAGTACTTCATACCCCATTTCCATATTCTATGCTCCATTCTCCATTCTACTTACTTCATACTGTTTTCTCTGTATTACATTTCTCAGACCCTACACTTCATGCTGCATTCTTTTTCCTTTATACTCCATTCTCTGCTACCCGGTTTTTATTCTCATTAACCATTTTCCATTCCATAATCCATATTCCATAATCTGTATTATACACAAGATACTACACTCTCCATACTTCAATTAATTCTCCATTCTTTACTCTCTATTGTTCTTACTCCATTCTCATATTCTCCACTCCTTCTCCACATTTTGTACTCTACACTCTATTCTCCATTCCATAGGCTCCTTACACCATGATCCATTCTTTAATTTTATTCTTCTTACTACACTCACCATATTCTATATCTCATACTTCATTACTCATTCTACATACTCCATTCTCTACACTTTCTATACGCCACACTCCAATTCCTTACTTCATTCTACATAAACATTTTCATATTACATACATCATTTTCCATACTCCGTTCCACTCCCTATTCCATAAACAATTTCCCATATGTCATACACTTCATTTCACACTCCATTCTTCATTTATTATTCTCTATTCTTCTTACTCTGTTTATCAAATTCCATTCTATATTCTCCATACTCTATACTTGATACCCTGTTCTCTCCTCACTCTAAAGACTCAAAATTCCATACTGTATAACCCACACTCCATATTCTATATTTCATTATGCATTTATCCTCCTCCATACTATATTTTACATTTGCCATATTTGTAAAACATTCTCTAGGTGCCATTCTCCATTCTCTGTGCACTACTCTTTATATCCCATTTCCAGTATTCCTTTCTCATACTTCATTGTCTATATTCCATATTCCATTT